GGGGGGGGGATAGAATGAATGAAATAAAGCAAATGTGTCAAGCTATTAAATAAGTGGTGAATCTAGGTGAAGGTTCGATAGAAATTCAGCGCACTGTTTTTCAACTCTTCTGTAGGTTTGTGAAAATAAAAAGTCGGAAACCAAACACCAAGCAAAGCATCATTTAAATGCTTTATTTCACTTGCTCAATTCAACAATTAAGAAATACAAATTTAGCCAAGAATGACTCAGACTTTCTCTAGCTTAGTAATATGAAATGTGGAATAAGAGTTACAAATGATAACAATCAAAATATTCAGAATGCGTTGTGCACAATTCTTAAATCTTGCCTCCTTCTAAAACCTAAGAAAATATGCATTATAAGTTGGAAGCACAGAACTCTGAACAAAAACAAACTAGATGCTGAGTCACGGGATCTGCCTTATAAGTACAATCTATTTTTCAGCAATTGATAAGCCATTGAAAATGTAACCCCATAGCCAACAAAAAAAGCCAACCCTCTGTTTGGCTGGGGAAGGGGTGTCAAATATGCAACCGTGTGGTAGATCCGTGCTGCAACAAAGAGTCTGAAATGCAGGAGTGCTGTAGACAGATCTGGATCACTCAAGGAATAGAGGAGGCCAATGCCGAGGAAGGGCACGATGTTTTCAAGGTCATTCAAGTGGGCCCTGTAGGAAGAGACGACTGTTAAGGACACTGTTTCAAAATCAGTATTTTCTTGTTCCCTAAAACTTAATTTAAGCGTTACTGGATTGTGAATTGGCAAAGTGAGATTCCTTTTATTGCTCTCAAATTGCCTTGCTTCCTTATCCACTTGACTTTTATCTAGAATGTCTCATGATTTTTATTTATTTTTATTTTTAGTGTCTTAACATACAACAGAGAAGTCATTTTGCTGTTTCTAGAATATCAAGACTGCATCGGTATCATAAAACTTCATTTTTGTAGAGATAATTTTAAAAAAATCCTTCTTAGGTTCATAAAATGGCAATTCAAGGTTCTGTTTATGAAAATGCTTCTTCCTTTAGGCTATGAATTCCTTCCTCACATCTGCTGGTCTATAAAATAATTGTTGGGAGAATCCTTGCCCATTTACCCAAATACTGAGGTTCCATACTAGGACTTCCCAATTTTCTATCAAGATCAGGTTCTCAGAACATCCAAATAACACAAATAACTAACTATAAAACCTGGCCTCAGATTCCAAAAAGCATTAGTTAATTATGATGAAACAAAAGTTAAATGTATGGACAAAAATAACAGGCACTAAAGAGAGAAAGATGTTTCGTACATTCTATCTCGATACAGCAGCTAGACGGAGCAAAAGCGTGGTTTGCACATAGGCGCTCCTCCAGGTCATGGCATCTTGGATGTCACCCGCTAGCATTCTGAATTCAAGATACGGGTCTATCTGTCTACACTCACAAACGCCCTGTCATCGAGCCAGCTCTGACTCACAGCGACCGAGCCTCGAGGGCAGAACTGCTCCAGCAGATTTTCGAGACTGCGACTCTACTGGAGGAGGAAGGGCCCTCGTGCTCCTGCCCAGCAGCTGGTGGTTTCGAGTCCAGCTGGCATCTGCTACACTGCCAGGGCCCCCGCCAGACACGTGCGTGTGTGACCTCAAGTTTTAAAAGTTTTTAACTTTAAAATCTGATGTGTCCCCAGATACGGTTACAAAGACAAAAATGTTGACTCTAAGCTGGAAATGGAGACTTGGATGGAGTTTATCAGCTACTGATCTATATTGCAAAGGGAAAAAATACTGTTTTATGTTAGTTTCTTCTCTTTGAGCAATAAACGGAACTGCTATAAAGTGCCTGCCGAATGATGACGATTACCACCACTGCTGCCCCTCCTCCTCCTATCTTTCTTCCTTTCATTTTCCTTAGGTTACATCTCAAGGTGCCTGACAAACCTGACCACATAACAGGAAATGGATGAAAGGATCCCTGGTTGTACAGTGGATGATGGGCTCGGCGGCTAACTGAAAGTCGGTGCTTCGAACCCATCAATCTCTCCACTGGACAGCGACCTGGCTGTCTATTCTGTAAAGACTGACAGCCTTGGAAGCCTTGGGGGCAGCTCTGCTCTGCCTTTTCATCAAACCCACACTGCCAAGGAGCTGATTCCGACTCATACCCTGTTTCCCCGAAAATAAGACTGTCTTATATTAATTTTTGCTCCAAAGATACACTAGGTCTTATTTTCAGGGTATGTCTTATTTTTCCATGAAGAATAATATGGTACACATTTATTGCTTATTGTTTTATTAAAAGAGACCTCACACTTCCTGTCTGCTCTGGCTGCACTGGATTTGGACTGCTGACCTTGTGATTAGCAGCCCAATGTGTAACCACTATGCCACGAGTCACTATAAAGTCAGATTCTACTCCATGGCAGCTGGCTGGTTGTTGTGGACACAAACAAAGGTGAGCAAACCTCTTAAAGGCTTTCAGGGGTCCTCAAGCTTTTTAAACAGGGGGCCGGTTCACTGTCCCTCAGACCCGTTGGAGGGCCGGACTATAGTTTAAAAAAAAAAAAAAAGATGAACAAATTCCTGTGCACACTGCACAGATCTTATTTTGAAGTAAAAAAACAAAAGGGGGAAAAACACCCGGTGGGCCAGATAAATGTCCTCCGCGGACCTCATGTGGCCCGCGGGCCTAAGTTTGAGGACCCCTGCTAGTAAACCATTGAGTCCCAAACTGATTCGGCTTACGGCCCACTTTTCAGGGAGAAAAAAAGTATTCTGTGTCTCCCTAGCAATTAAAACCTTTTGTCCTCTAGTCTGCAATACAGGATAAAGTGTAAGTTTCTCCTTTTTGCAGACCCGTTGGATCATTCATTCCAGCAGCATGCAACCCTATACACACACACACACACACAAACCCATGGTACTGCCCAATTTGGGAAAGACCAGTTTAAATATATACCTGCGGAAGGACAATGAAGAGACAAATATGTGATTGTCTCTGTGTCCTCTCTTTAGTGGAACAATCCAAGGGCTGCTAAGAAGAAAGTCCAAAGCCCCCGCCACCACGTCCACTGAGACTTATTGGGACACACTCTATTAACAGTGCTTCCCCAAGTGGGCAGTACTACCCCGAGGGTGAGGGAGGCACTGGGATGATCCTGGAACATGGACTACACTTCATCTTGGTCTATGGCCTAGCCTATACAACTCACTGCTATTGAGTCAACGCTAACTCAGAGTGACCCCTTGTGGGTTTGGGAGACTCTATCTGTTTATGGGAGTAGAAAGCCCCGTCTTTTCATTGCCATCGGGGTGCTGATGTGGTTTTTTTCCCCCTGAAAAGGGGCTGGTAGGCCAAATATATTTGGTAACCTATGTCCCATTAGGATTCTGAGACTGTCAATCTTGATAGGAGCTGACGGCTTCCTCTTTCTCCTGTGGAGCAGCTGTTGGGTTTGAACCACTGACCTTATGACCTTATGGGCACTTAATAAAAAGCCCAACATCTAATCCACACCATCACCTACTGAAGTCAAGTACACAAGAGAACAGGAAAGCCATGACTAGAGAAACGCCCACTGCCTAAATGGTGCCATGTGTATTTGTTCTGGACCCCTGGGCTCTCCAGCCAGATGGACCACAGAGGTACCTCCACCTCCAATAGGTGTGTTAGCATTCTTTCCAAACTGGGAAAGACAAAGGAAAGTTAAGGAAGGGCCTACTAAAGGGTGACTCTGCGGGAAACATGCCCATTACTGGCACTATGTAAAACAATTGGGAAACAGAATGCACTATCAAAGAAGAGAAGAAAATCAAGGGCCAAAAAACCAAAAATAAAACACCGTGAAAGGACCATATAAGTCAGGCGATGGGAGAGGGTTCAGGAAGGGCAGGGCTTCTTTTGACCTTAATGCACCCCTCCATTCTCCCCATCCCCTCTCTTATTTTTCTTTTTAAATATTCTATTTCCCTCAGCCCTCAAATGTTCTCATAGCTAACAGCCTTGGTCTTACTAAGGCACGTTTCAACAGGCACTCAAGCCCTGGGCTATTTTATGCTTCTTAAATGCAGTTCTCTTGCGTTTCTGCCCCAGGCATATGTTAACCCCGCCGTTCCCAGTGAGCACCTGTGTAGTCCAATATCACCATCACCCTGCCCATGGGACCTCGTGCTCAGCTCAAAGGACAGAGTCCTTCTGAGACTGGCTGCTTCAATCTCTTCAGAGTAATTTCTAGAGAGCTACCAAACTGTATTCCTTCAGGGTATCAGTCTTCATGAGCTTCGATTCGATGCCGCTACCAACGCGTCTTGACTGAAGTTGGCAGCCTCGTCTTTCTCCCTCAGAGTGATTTGTGGGTTTGAACTGCTGGCCTTGTTGCTACCAGCACAATGTGTAACCCACTTCACCACTAGGGCTCTTTGACCATTCTATACCTGGGTCTATCCCCCCTCCCTGCCTACTTGCCTTCTTCCTTTGCACACATGGCCATTTGAACAAACTTGCTACATGACTAATTCTCCTAACAGCCCAGCTCGGTGCTCACGATGCTACAAGCACACATCACTTGTCCAGTCAAAAATCACTTCAATCTCAGAATCTAGCTGACCTGAGCAGTTGCTAAATACCTTTGAGAATTAACAAAGGGTAGTCAAATACAAAAGGAACTTCCAAACAGACTTTTCCTGACTCCCTGAACTCAGCCGCGGCTTCCCTGGATTCACAGTATACAGCAGTGGGTCCCAAGTCCTACCCAAGTACTCCCACCTCATCTTCCTTATTCTAAATATTTATATGCTCCAAGTGATTTTCCCCCCAAGTGTTTCTGAACATGCAAGCTTATGTCTGCCCTGTATCCCACAGCTGCACATCTAACTGGATATTGGCTCTGTCATTCTCTAATGCCAACATGCTTGTTCATTTTCTTATAAGAAAAGAAGATTATAAACCTGTCAGAGGCAGAAACCCAATGGCAAGGCCAGAGTCAGGTGCCCCTTAGTCTTCACAATAAATCTGCCCTGTGCAGCAGATTTGCCCAATGCAACATCACATGTGATTTTCTGCTTGTGGCTCGAAGTAAAGTGAAATCCTTGACAACATCAATCTTTTCTCTGTTTATCATGATGTTCTTTACTGGCCCGGTGGTGAGGATTTTTGTCTTATGTTGAGGTAAGTGTTTGAAGTCCTGTTTGCTGTGTCATCAATATATCCCAGCACAGGGCACCTTCTTCCTAGAGCCAGTCTCTCAGATTATTTTCTTAGCATACTTGTAACGATGTGAAAGGATATAAACCTGATGCACACTTCTCCTGTACTATGTCATAGCACCGTGTACTATTCAAGTGACTGCCCCAGGTCTCAGTGTAGGTACCGTGTGAGCATAATTGGCCCAGGATTCCCACTCTGCACAACGTTATCCCTAATTTGTTATGATCAACGTAGTCATATGCCTTTGCAGAGTCGACAAAACACAGGTAAACATTTCTATGATATTCTCTGCTTTCAGCCAAGATTCATCTGACCTCAGCGATGATAGGCAGCATTCCATATTCTGGTCTGACTCCGGCTTGTATTTCAACAGGAGATGTGCTGCTGCAACTGTTTGTAAAATTACCTTCAGGAAAGATTTTACTTGTGTGTCATATTCATGATGTTGTGTGATCGATAATATAAGCAAGTGATCACCTTTCTTTGAAATGGGCACATATAAGCATCTCCTCCATGAAGTTGGCCAGGTAGCTGACCTCCAAATTTCTTGTAATAGACAAGGGAGTGCTTCCAGCATTGCTTCTATTTGCTAAAAGCATCTCAATTGGCATTCTATCAATTCTGCGAGCCTTGGTTTTCATCAATGCTTTAAGTGTAGCTTGAACATCTTCTATTAATATCAGTTCCTGATCATATACTACTAATCACATGCTACTTTCTGAAATGGCTGCGCATTGACCAGTTCTTTGTGGCACAGTAACTCTGTGCTCCGTCTAACCTCTTTTGATGATTCCTTCATGTTTCGATATTTTGCCCACAGAACCCTTCAGTATTGCAAATCAAGGCTTGATGTTTTCCTTCAATTGTCTCACCTGGTGAAATGCTGAGTACGTTCTTCCCTTTTGGTTTTCTACTTCCAGGTCTTTACACGTTTCATTATAAATCCGTATTTTCGCTTTTTCGCTCGGTCTTTTGAAATCTTCTGATTAGTTCTTTTATTTCATCATTTCTTCCCTTCGATGTGGCTACTTTACATCAAGAGCAAATCGTAGTGCAGGGGTCCTCAAACTTTTTAAACAGGGGGCCAGCGCACTGTCCCTCAGACCGTTGGAGGGCCGGACTATACTTTAAAAAAAAACTATGAACAAATCCTGTGCACACTGCACATATCTTATTTTGAAGTAAAAAAACAAACAGGGCAAAAACACCAGGCGGGCCAGATAAATGTCCTCGGCGGGCCGCTTGTGGCCCGTGGGCCGTAGTTTGAGGACCCCTGTTGTAGAGTCTCTTCCGGCACTCTTGCTGGTCTTTTCCTTTTGGTCAAAGCTGGGCTCCAGATAGTCTTTAAATTCAGGTGTGATGTGTTCGAGATCATATTTTGGCTCTGTGGATTTGTAACTTTCTTCAGCTCCAACTTGAACTTGTATATGAGTAATTGATGGTCTGTTCTGCAGCCATCCCCTACTCTTGTTCCGATGACGTCGAGCTTCTCCATCATCCCTTTCCACAGATGCAGTTGATTTGGGGCTTTTTTTTGCATATTCTATAGGTGAAGTACATGTGTACAGTTGCTGTTTACCTTGGTAAAAAGAATAGACCATTTGTCTTGCAAAATTCTACCATGTGATCTCTGGTGTGGTTTCTTATCACTAAGGCCATATTATGCAACTGTATAATCTTTGCGTTATAACCACCCATATTATCAATGCATCTTGATTGCATGTTTGATCAAGTTCAGTCTACAGAAGTTGGTAAAAAGGTTCCATATTTTCATGTTTGGCACTAGCAGTCCAGGTACAAATTTGAATAGTCAGTCTTAATAGCTGTGAGCATATGGGTAGTATTTGTAATCTGATCCATAACTTGTTATAGGTAAGCATATGTGGGCATATGAATATTCTTTGTAGGCATATGGATGTTATCCTGTCACTAACAGCACTGTACTTCAGGACAGATCTTGGAATGTTCCTTCTGGTGATAAATAGGGTGCCATTCCTCTTTGTCATTCCTGGTCTAGCAAGCCAAACGATTGCCTAATTCCAAATGGCTAATTGTACATCAGTCATTTCAGCTCACTCCTACTTATCTTTACACATTTTATTTCAATGTTGATGACTCCAAATTTTCCTAGATTCACTTTGTACATTCCATGCTCTCATTATTAATGGAATATGTGCAGCTGTTCCTTCGCATTTTTTGGTATCACAGGAGCAAAAGAAAGTCCCAAATGTTTGACTCTATCCATGTCATTAAGGTCAATCCTGCTTTGGAGAGGCAGCTCATTCCCAGATGTGTTCTGCGTGCCTGGCCTCCCTCCGGAGGGGCTCATCTCCTGGCACAACGACAGACTGTGCTCTGCTGCTGCTCCTGTGGCTTCCCCTGGCCACTGTTTTCCAAAGTACATTGCCAGGTCTGCTTTTCTAGTCTCTGAAACCTGAAGGTTTTACTGAAACCAGTCCATCATGGGTGAAACTGTTGGTATGTAAAATACCAGTGGTATAGCTTCCAGCATGGAGAAACACACAGGCCAGCACAGTACCAGAAACCGAGAGAGAAGTCATGACTGGTCGCCTTATTCCTATCTCTTTAGCTTGTTGTATTGAATATATGTGGTTCTGTTTCTCTTAATTGCATTCAGCTAAGAAAATGTAGATATATAAAGTGCTTTCCAACATCAATGATTTCCTTGTCTACACTCAACTTACAAGTTACTTATTTTGACTCGTCAACACATATTTTGGGATTTTTTTGTATTTATTAATTTAGCCAATAGTGCACGCCCTTGACTTCAGTTACACCTACATCAATCCCTGTGGTTGGAATATGCTAATCATAACAACTGTACACTTGCCTGTTGAAGTAGAAAGTGGAAAAATGTCCAAGTTAAAAATGGAAAAGGATGATCCTAGAAACTCGCTGAAAAGCACTTCTAAAATAAGTTTGTTAATAAGAGCTTTTTAATAGGTCATTAAGGTCTTAAAAAAAAAACAAACCAAAACCCTAGGCTGGTAAGACCTCAAAAATACAAATGGAAAAGAAAAAAAAAAACCTTTCCAAGACTCTTCTCTTGCCTCATTGAAAAGCCGGTGTCTGATCACCAGGGGGCGCCGTTCACACAGTTGCGGCACCTTCTCTAGAAGGACACTGACCCTTTTCAGAACTAGTAGGCCCCGACTTTCACTAAACATACTTGCTGCTCACCAATAAGTTTAATCCTTTTTGCCCTTAGAAAATAGACTTCTAGAAGCACAATCGTATGGATGTGGAAGCCAAACTATTCTGAACTGCAACACTAAAAGGTTATTTGATGAAAGTTTTGTGAATGAGATGTTCCACCCTACTAAGGCTCCTGAGTGTTTTCTATCACTTTTAAGTCCTAGGCAATTTGTGGGAATGGAGTCACAATTAGCATTGTGCATGAGCGACAGCGAGAATAGGATAAGGTTTCAAACTACTCTGGTGACGTAGTGGTTATGCACCAGGCTGCTAATTGTGAGGTTAGCAGTTCAAAATCACTTGCTGCTCTGCAGTGGAAAGATGAGGCTTCCCCCTCCACCCCCAAAAGAGTTGAGGTTCCGGAAACCAAGCAAGGCAACTCTACCTTGTCTTACAGGGTTGTCACAAGTCAGAATGGACGCCGTGGCAGGGTTTGCTCTTTTTAATGTCTCTTTAGTCACTAAAGAGTGTTTTAGTAACTTCACAGAGCTGTCTCAACTTTCCTGATTTTTATACTTTCTTGTAACATTATCATCTTTACCCCGTACTGTTTGGAATCTCTACATTGAATCTTTGTCCTAAAGCTATTTCCACTGCATATTCTTGGCACAACCCACTTGAAGATTGGCTGATTTGCTCAGTTGTTGTTAGCTCTACCATTGAGTGAGCCCCCAACTCGTGGCAACACCGTGCACACACAAAAATAGAGATCTATTGGCTGATATTTTTGAAGTACACCAAGACTTTCTTCCTAGTCTATTTTATTTTGGAAGCTCTGTAAAATCCGATTTACTTACTAGGACGAATGAATTAACAAGTATGCAACCTAAGTGGAACAGAAGCTAACATTTTCTAAATATCTAGCATGGAATTCTTCTCAGAAAATTATGACTTGTTAAATAACTTGGGATAAATGGCTTTGAATGAGCCAGAAGGAATTAGTTTTAGGACCAAAACTAATAATGGTCCTAAACTGGCAAAAGAGTCATAGGGCTAAAGGGGACCCGGCCAAAAACAGTGCAATGATTGGGCCTCTTTCAGAGGAAGCTGACACGGTGTAAACTTTCAGAGTGGGGCTAAGACACAGGACTACAAGGGCACTGAGGTCTATGGCATGATTTGCAATGGTTGTGCTGCCTTCTGGTAAGTTCTCCTGCACTTATTCCACTCGATTTAGTCAAGTCTGTTTTGTTTGTTTGTTTTTACCTTGATATGTGGTGGAAAGCACAGAATATGAAAAAGCATGTACCAATGCAGGAACCCACAACCCCGATTAAAATTCATTAGGGTATGTGCAGAAATATTAGGGGGAAAGCCCTCCAAATTCACTGCCATTTAATCAATTCTGATGTATAGACCTCACAGGACAGGGTAGAACTAGCTGCCCCTGTGGGTTTCTGAGACTGTAGCTCTTTCTGGAAGTACGAAGCCTCATCTTTCTCCCCGCGAGCGGCTAGTGGTTTTGAACTGATCTTGCAACTAGCAACCCAATGCATAGCCCACTATTCCACCAGATTTGCTCACAACCACCTGATGATCCAACAATTCATTCAACTGTTGAGAATATCCTTGATATTTGCCTGCACCACCAGTTTGAATGAACATTAGAAAATATTGATTGAGAAAATGGTATAGATCTTTGACTAATACATTGGTTAATGGATTCTCAATATAAGAACTTTGTACTTCACATGCTCTTTTATGAAAATGATTAAGGAATATGCCTTCAGAGCTATAATGAATGCACTGATTAAACTAAGTATATTAATTACATTGTTTGGAGACTGTGGAGATGATATTCTTGCTTATTGCTTTTCACTCTTCATTGAATTCCCCAAACATTAGCCAATAGTATCTTCAAATGAGAGAAAGACTGTTGTCCCCATTTCGCTGAGTGTCAATTTTCATATTTTGAATTCTATGCAAAGCAGCTACATTACATTCCCAATTATATCCCCTGCATTATTTTGTTACATCTCTATATAAAGTCAATAATCCCAATCTTGAGAATATAAAAAGTTTTGCAAAATTGGCAGTATATACAACTGCATTGAAGATTAGAGACTTCTTGATTCTTAATTTATTTGTATTTTTTTTCTGTGGATTGGTAAGATGACTTTATTTTCAATGAGTTTATTAGAGCAAAATTCAATTATTTCAATCAATACAGAAGTAAATATTTCAGGAGACAGTAGTTTACCTTCGTACACGTTCCACTCTGTCATCTGTCCGAAGATGTTTCTTCGCGGCTTCCCCTTTGCCAAAACTTGCACAATCTTCTGGGTTAGCAAAAGCCTATTGCAAATACCAAGAAAAAGTTACTAATTGGGGGGCTTCTAGGAAGTTATTTGCATTGGACTAGTACAGACATCTAGGTTGGCCCTCGGAGGAGAGAAAAGGTGGGGAGAAGAAATTAAACTCAAGTGGAGGGGCGACCACCTATCATTTGCATATGAGTGTTTATTAACAATTCAAAATAAAAGTCCCAAAGTTAATCATAAAGAAAAACTTAAATCTATCCTTCATGCAGCTGCTTAAGAAATCCTAAAACTAGATTATGGTGCTACATCAGTGCTCATGACCTTGAATTCATAGTCCAAAAGAAACCTTGAGTTTTGTATAGCTAGGCAGATACAAATGCTGGTAATAATTTCACAGCTCTAGCAGTTGCAATAGATGCTTGGTAACTGTTTGGGAATAAATGATGTTGTTTCAAAGTGAAAAAAGAAAACTTACATAGAAACCAAAGTATAAACATCATGTGAAGGAAGTAAAAAGGGGAAGCATGATTCTTAGTTGTCATTGATTATTATCATAATGGTGAGCTAGCACCTTTTTCCTAGTGATAGCGACATAACTTGCCTCATATGGACCCACCGAGTGATTCATCTGAAAGTAATACGTTCCCCTGCCAAGGGTAATAGAAACCAGTGAAAAGAAGAGGGCAGGAAAGCTACCTTGTCCTCTACTAGGCTGTAGACCTCTGGCTCCCCCAACTGGATAAAACCTTGCCCTGAATAATACCGGGAAACTTAAGAAGCTAAATTGTATTCCTATGCATAACAAAGTAGACGTTCTAGGGCTTATGCTTATTAATTCCTTCCTGCAATTATTATGCTGTTTGACATTATTTACTCATCCTCTGACATTAAAAAATTGACATTTGTCAATTAAAAAAGTACTACATTGTATTTCACTGCTTCATAAATTATAATAAAGAAACTATATAAAATTATCCTTACAAAGTGCAAAAGATTGTAATTCAAACCATACTAGATTTGAATCTCTACTCAAATCCATAGACTTTACCGGTATAACTCTCAAAAGTTTATTCAAACTCTCAGTTTCAGCTTTCTCATCTGCACAACATAGCAGAAGAGGAGCCTTCACCCCCCATGATAAAGAACACATAATGATTGGTATGCCTATAAAATGATTCCATTATCCACCACATATGAAAAGCACCAAAGTCCACAGTGGCATTCCACAAATCCCAATGAATCTCAATGCATCTCTACTTTCTTCATAAGGAGATTCATGTTTCTGCTCTCTTTAGCACCATTCTTTTTCTAACACATATTCTACACCTGATGGAAGACAGCCCCTTTGTAGCTGGTTGCTCCAGCACAGTGTCTCACCAAGAGTTGATTTCTTTAGAGACTTAGGTATGTGGGTATGTGCCCCATTATGGGCAGGAGGACCATACTTTCAAGGAAGAAGCAAGGGCTGTGATCCTCTCTAAAAGTATGTGCTAGTTATTGTCCCCAGGTGTAATGAAACAAGAGTCCGGAGGACACAAAGCCAGGACCGTGGCTTTCAAGAAAAAGAAGCTGCTGGAGAGACTCCGGAGCGCACCAATAAAAATCTTTAAATTTTGCTCTCCCTCATACTGTGCAGGTTAGAAACCTCCAAGTGCAGGTTAGAAACAGTAGTATCTAGTTAGCAGTACTACCATTGCTAAATGCTTTGATCAGGAGTTCTATAAAAGAATCCTCATCAAAACGGAGAAACATTTGAAACAGGATTTCATGGAATCCAGATGTTCTGGAGTCAACGAGGTAGGATGAATCCCAGACACTACTGCCCTGAGATCATGTTTAAACTTTGAGCCAAAAGTCTCCCTGGGGTTGTCCTTAAAGCAAATACTCGTTAAGCTGGGAAGGAATGCTTGCCCTGTGCATTGTTCCTTTTCAAAACGTGATATGGGTTCAGCTTGACAACAGCAATTGGAGGGGCTGGATGGGAGTGCGGGCCAGTGAGCTGATGTTAGTGGAGGAAGAACTACTCAGAAAAGTAAGGTGAGAATCGTTTCCCATCTTGGAGAACGAAATCTCTGCCACTAAAGTGTACATGTCGAAACTGGTGGATTGGTGTGTGTTCTGCTGTATATATTTTAACAACAAGAATATTTTTTAAAGCAGAAAAGTGCACAACACCAAATAGCTTGTCCAATGACAAGGCCTGCCATGAGAATAAGAACGCGAATTCTCAGCCTCTGTGTGTGTTCTTGTTGTTGTCCTGAAAGTCAAACCCTTGACTTGTGACAAGGATGGAAAACACCAGTTTATACTCTTGAAAACAACTTCTGTTTGGCTTTCAGTGAAAAATGTGACTACAAAATCACAGAACGTTTCCCTGAAACTTTGAGACTGCAGAGATTGCCATTTCTAAGCAGTACAACAAAGGGTAAAAGCCCCATTAAACTAGAGGAAACAAAGCATTTGCTAGCTACGGTTCCATACCAGGTCCATCTGCATCCAAGGCCGACTCCTCGGCAGTTGTTACAACGCTTCCCCCTCGCCACCCCACCCCACCCTGCAAAAAAAAGTCCACAAAGAAAATTATTTTCCAGAATCTCAACTTTTGAAAGAAAACATTATATCCGAATATCTTACCTTTTTTGTTACTCTATGCATTGCAGTGACAGTACTCATAAGCATCATTTTCGAAAGAATAATCGTTGCATAGGAGGCAAAGGCCATGAATACATCATTCTCGGCTAGTTGGGTGAGGCCAGCCATTTTTGTCTTTCAATTTTGGTCTGGAATCCTAAAAGAAGAGGCTAGACAAAATGGGGGAAATGTAAGACAACAGATACTGATACCCAAAATGTCAGTGGTCACTTGGTATACTTATATTGCAATATTAACCATGTGTCCTTAAAAGTATCTTGGGCAACTTACAGGGAAACGTGGTTTTTAAATTTTCAAAGTAACCAGAATTATGTGTTCTCTAGTTCTACACTGTTAAGTCCCATGGACTTCCAAAAGGACAAACTCATCTGTCTGGGAAGAAGCACAGCAGAGTGCTCCTTAGAGGCCAGGATGACGAGAGTTTGTCTGATGTGTTTGGGATATGTTGACAAGAGAGACCAGTCCCTGGAGAAGAACATCATGTTTGGTAGAGAGGCAGCATGAAAGAGGAAGGCCTTCAAGGAGATAGATTATGCCAATGTTGTAGCCGCTGTGTCAGTCCATGTTGCTGAGCGCCTTCCTCTTGTTTGCTGCCCCTCCACTTGACCAAGCATCGTGTCCTCCAGGAACTGGCCTCCACTGCCAACATGTCCAAAGCACTTGAGATTAAGCCTCACCATCCTTCTGACTGTACTTCTTCCAAGACATATGAGATAGTTAATATTTATTGTGCCAACCTGGCTGACAAACACAAGTGGGGTTAATTGAAGGGCAGAGAGTAAAATGGCTCTGTTAGCCTCGCCTTCCGGCTGCCTTAGCCAGTTCCCTGCTTCAGCTGGCAAAGCTCACTTCCTGCAAGACATCCCCAAGGAGAAGCCGCATGGACCTACCCCGATGCAGCCCTGGGTGCTGGAGCAGCCAAGTGGAGACCCCTGCCAGCGCTGAGATGCTTACACGTTCACTGATTTGGCTTTCCTCCTGCAGTGGGCATCATAGTGTGTGTTTTGTGAGATGGAGGAGGACTTTGTGGATTGGTGTCGGACATATGGGTTAATGTTGGACTTGTAGGTTTGGGCAGCACTGGGTTGGGATGTTTTCTTGATGTGCACTTAACCTTTACATAAAACTCTCCCTTATACATATGAGCTTCTATGGATTTGTTTCTCTAATAAACCCAGACTAACACAACATATCTTTGTTCTTTTGGCAGTCCATGGTATTTTCAATATTCTTTGCCAACACCATAATCCAAATGCATCAGTTTGGGGGGCTTCCTTATTTACTGTCCAACTTCTACATGTTGTGCTAAGAATGCCTAAATTCTAAAACATGCCTTGCTTTAGAAAAACTTTTATAGTGTTTTCTCATTTCAGTAGTATTCAAGATTTCATGCTCTAGGGTTTGAATTCAAATCCCACATCTAGGAGACTATCTCTGGTGGAAGTAGTTCATCTATACAAGACTAAATTTCTTCATTTATAAGATAGAATAGTCATAGTTTTTAATGATTGACTTGTCATAGTTTAATTGAGATAGCCCATGGAATATGATTAGCACAATTGCTGGCCAATGAAAAACTACATATAAAATTTAAAATATCATCACAGTTATTGTATAGATGACTAAAAATCAGAATAATAGAAGCATCAAAATAATAGGCTTGGAAATGTAAGGTTAAGAATCGCTATTTATGATACTTTCCTAGGAAGAATGGTAAGGGAAAGAGGATTCGCTTTATATGATAGGACTCCAGGTTGTTTTACATTCCTTATTTACATCCATCTAAAAGCTACCAAAGGAGCCCTGGTGGTGTGGTGGTTACATGTTGGGCTGCTAACCAAAGATGACCTGTTCAAAACCACCAGCCACTACTCTGGAGAAATATGAGGCTTTCTGCTACTATACAGTTAGTCTTGGAAACCCACAGGGGCAGTTTTACCTTGGCCTATAGGGTTGCTATGAGTTGGAATATACTTGATAACAGTGAGGAGGGAAAGCTACCTTGGTAGCACAAACAATTAAGCATTGGGCCAATGACAGAAAGGCTGATGGCATGGATCCATCCAAAGATGCTGTGGCAGTTCAATTTTATGTCAATTTTCACTTGTGCAGGGGTGAGCCCAACCTGTCAATCAGGACATGATGATGCTTCCTGGGAGGTGTGGCGTTTTAGAAAAGAGAGACACTGGGACCCATTCTCCCCCGTGGCAGCCTCGTCTTTCTCCGAGGTAGCTGGTGGTTTTGAACAGCTGACCTTACAATTAGCAGCCCAATGCATAACAACTATGCCACCAGGGCCCTGCAGTGAAGTGAAAGTGGGTTGACATTTAGGGTAAGTCAAAGTGGGTAAGACTTTAAGGCAAGTCTCCATTTAAACTCCCCACCCTACCTGGTAGTCATCCTTCGAATGTCTGCTGCTTTTGACACATCTTTGCTCACGCTCTATTTAACTTAGCATGAAATGCTCTTTCTTCTAGATGAGGTCAATTTCTTCCTCTAACACCCACTCCCATGAGATCTTATCAGACTGGTAATTCTATCAGTCTACCAATACTCTATATTTATATATGTTTCTATGCCCTGCTGCAGGCCATGGAGTTGTCTATACTTCTAATGATAATGTAAACACATTAATATGGATACAAATGTAATTCTGTAAGTTTGTTAGGTATCAACTATCCCATGCACTTTATGTATTTTACCTTATAGAGTCCTGATAACTATCATATAATCTGCATACATATATACATCTTACAGATGAAGAACAGAAGACACAAATCCATGGGTCTTTTTGACTTCAAAGCCCTTGGGTTCACCTCATGTACACTACCTCCCTCCTTCAAGAGACTTTACACTAATTGCAAAACAACTAACATTGACTCAATAGCTGGCACTTCTTAGGGCATCTCTTCTGTTACCTTCTTTCATCTTCTATTGATGCCGTAAGGCAAGTGTTAGTATTTCCATTTGGGCTGTGGAAAGTGAGTGCCGATGGCACATCGGTAATGCACTCAGCTGCTAACTGCAAGGCTGGTGGTTCGAGCCTGTCGGCTGCTCCGTGGGAGAAAGCAGTGGTAGTCTGCCTCCTGAAAGGGGCAGCCTTGGAAACCCAATGAGGTAGCTCCATTCTGTCCAATAGAATCGATGTTGAGCAGAAATTGACTCCAAAGCAGTGGATGAGTATTAGATGGGGGAAAATCGCCAATTAAAAATAGCTTCCCCATTAAACCTCTATTTTTATATCTCCAGGCCTCAAAGTATGGAGGGGATAAGTCATGAATAAACTACATTGTCCTTAGACACGCATACTCACATTAAGTAGTTAAGTTAGTAATCTCTAAGTCCTAGGTCCCTTGACAAGAGGATGAGAAGAAATACAACACAGATGGTGAAAATTAAGAGGGGAAAAAAAAAATCAAGAAAGTGTTATGAAATATAGAGTGCTGCCATTTAATAGTAACTTTAAAACTAAAACAAACTTTAAAACAATCTCGGTAGGTCTCTATCAATGTGCCCAGAAGGAAACTAATTTAGCAGTGGAATGAATGTTGGGATTGTCAATGAAACTGGGAAGTACATAGAGAAAGTGGACATTTCAGCTCTATAGCTGGGAAAACAAAGATGTCATCATGTGGGGAGAAAGGGCAATGGGAGACTTTTGCTTTAAATGTGAAAAACACATGGAAGAGTGCACACATGCCCCACCACCCCTGTAAAGAAAGTTTCTCAAGCACTAAGAATGTTGCTAAACGCTCTGATGGTGTGGTTTCCGGGAAAGGGGCCAACACCATTCAGGCTCAGCTCGTGAACCGCCTCTTTGAACCAAGCTCTTGCACCTCCCAGCAAACACGCAGGCTGGGTAAGGAGTGGGAAAAGTGAAAACCTCAAGAAATAGGCATCATTTTAAACATGTATTAAGGCGATGCTGTTCTGACTGCTTTTCTTCCAAAGCTGAGTTGTCAATAAGTCACAGCGAGCCTGTTACACAACACTCAAGCCATTATCAGGGCTGCAGCAAACACACAATTACAGAAAGCTTTTTACCAGGGAGGGCACCAGGAGGGCCGATAGCAGTATAGTAGCAATAATTGTGAGAGTAAAATGTTAAGTGATTTGAGTATTCTAGGAACGAGACGGAAATAATCCAGGAAAGAAAGCAGAGAAAGACATGAGACCCGCTTATGAATCATAAAAAATAAATGATTAAAATGATAAACCGCATTGGCAAAAGTGCTTCGTGTGTTTTGCTAAATGATTATCGGCTGGCAGAGTCGTGAATATCTCCTTCTGTCAAGGCAGAGACCAGGGCTCAGGCCCCTAATGGAGAGAGAGCCGCCTCTGGTGGGAACACAAAGCAGGGAGCGTGGGAATACACCCTCCAGAACTAGGCAGTCTGCCCCAACCCCATTCTGCCCTTACTAGCTGCTATGTAACTTTTTGGTGACCTTAACTGCCCAACGAGGTTAGCAGTAGAAATGCCTGTCTCGCAGGATTCTTGCAAGGATTAAATAAACACATGACAAGTGCTTATGAAGGCACTTGGTTCTTTTGGTTAAGAGTTATATAATCAGTCGCTATCAAGTCACCTCATGGCGTCTGGGTGTCAGAGTAGAACCGTGTATCCTGGGTTTGATTTAGGGGATTGGGGAGCGGGAAGTCCATCCCCAAGTCTTCCTCTCTGAGCCACTTCTGGGTGCACTCAAATCTCCATGTTTGGGGACAGCAAGCATTTGCACCAACCAATGTTTCCAAGTGCTCTAGAAGCATTTAGTAAACAGGTAAGCTCCCATGTGGCCATTGTTCTAAATGCTGAAATTCCACTTTAGAGCTTTCAAACGTGAAAAACTTTCCACATGTGAAAAGTTTTCACATACTGCGTGGCTTCACCTGAAAACTATAGTAGGGATAGGAAATCACCTTTCTTCACATAGACAAAGAAGACAAGTCAAGAAAGACAGACTGAGTAATTGGACCCCCATTCCCACTCTCACTGGTTGAATGTGTGAGCTTCCCCACGAATAAAGAGCTGAGGATTCTCGATTGTCCGGGACTTGAGGAGATCTTTCCCTGTGACATCCCATTCCTATCTTGTGTGCGGCTCTTGTCTGCCTTTTTCATCTCTCCCTTGCAAAGCGCTCCGCCTCCCCTCACAGGCTCTTTGTCAAAGAGTGTAAGGTTCTCTAATTCTCAACTATGTGTGGCCTCTCTACACAACATTATGAAACACCAGGAAAACCTGGGCACATATCCCAGGGGCCATGACTGTGCAATTTTGTCCCTTCTGAAACCAACAGAATCTTACTCCTGTGAGAAAGGGAGAGAAAAGAAAGAGAAGCAACAATCATGCTGTTGTTTAGGCTGATCCACTGGAGAATTTCCTAAAGGAACCACGGCATTTGCAATCTCAAGCCAAAGGGGCTTCAGATTCACCAAGGGTTCAAGAAGAAAGAAAATGTTTTGAAAAGGATGATGGCCATATATATACAGATGTGTTTGATACAATGGATGCATGGATTAGTATAAGAGCTGTAAGAGTCCCCTAATGATTTATTCAAGTTAAAAATTTTAATGTAATTTTAAAAATAAAGAAACTGCAGGCGGTTGGGGAGGCTAACCTCTGGGGAAGGTGCTGACTTTCTTCCCCAACCTGGAGTGGGGGATGGGGTAGAGGTGGGGGTGGGGTGGAACCACTAAAACCCTTAGAAACATATTCCTTCTCTGGCAAATTGGTCAAATTTGGGTCAATTCATATTTTCAAAATAATTACCAAAGATGGTCTCCACACCTGAGCCTATTCTAGACATAGCTGAGGATCTAGACATCGGCACCCTGAGCTCCAAGGTACCACTCCAGCATACACAAAGCCGTGGCTGGCCTGCCAGTGCCAGCTGGCTCGGCCCCTGAGAACTCTCTGCTGGCTTAAATTATGATAACCTGGGGGCTGCTCGGGGCTGGTGCAGTTACCACACTGGCCTTCAGGGAAGTTTGATCACATCCCAGTTTGTCCTCAATTGATGGAAAGCAGGGAGAGGGAAATAAAAGTAGTGGAGGACTCCCAAGAGGCCTTGGGGCTGCTTCAGAGGAAGTAGGGCAAGTGGAAGACTCACAAGTGCCCTTCTCTCGGCCGTCTTCTCGGTCTAGCAATAGAACCAGTTCTGAGCGCTTAACTCCCAAGGAGAGCTTCCCCGCTTCGTGATGCCCCCCAGGTGGCTGCCTTCTACAGATGAGGGCCTAGACCCAGCCCCGCCCCAAGGAGTTTCACCTTGAGCTCTCCACGCATCTGGTACAGGAAGACCCTCCCGCACTCTGCTGTCTACCAGTTACGATGACTCTGGTATTATTTTTAAAACCAGCAAAGTGAACCGGAAAGGGGCAATTCTCCCTTTCAAAGGGTCCAAAGGCGGGTTGGGTATCTGAAAACGGATAAGCCATAGGAACTTTCACCCATTGGTGAAAAACAAGCAAATAAAAAACCACCAAATCAGTTGCCACCCCCACCCCCACCCCGGGTAGATTCGGACACTGGGTGAGCCCTGGTGTGCTGGAGCAGCGGAGCCTCCTTTCAGGGCTGGAATGTTTCAATGGCTGGGCCTTCCTTCCCAAGCTCCTCTTCGGATTCAGCCTCAGTTGAGCATGCAGACCATTGGCACCAGCTAAAGCTGATGAAAGTCATGACCACCTGTCAGGACAACTTGCAAGTTCCTTTGACACCCCCTAAAGTTGCAAGTCACCGTTTCAGACAGGATGCCACTTTGGCTTGACTTTAAACGGATTTTTAAAGGGTTAAATCATCTCTCACACAGGACAACGTGCCCCTCATCCCCGCCCTCCAGTTTCAGTTCCGGAATTCAACAAACGAGGAAACTGGTCCTTGGAAATGCCCAGGACCCGAGTCCCCTTTGAAGCATGAGAGAAAAAGCAATGTCCTGCAGCTACATGGACCTTTCAGGCCGGCGGAGCCGCTCAAACCTCGGCCATCCTTTCCCTTGGCGCCCTGCTCCCCCTCTCCGCCCCCCGTCCAGCCCGAGCACCTACTGTGACACCGCCGCCGCCGAGCTGGGACTGCAGAGCCGTCCCGGGGGAGCCGCGCGCTCCGGGAAACTTACTTGGAAGGCGCCGCCCTCGGGGTAACGTCCTGGGCCTTAGACCTTGGCGCTCTGGGCCAACTCCAAGTTCTTCTAGCCCCTCCCCTGACCGCGGGGTAGCCACCAGCCTACTGGTTCCCTTCTTTGAAATGTGCTTGTTATTTGGACCCTCTCAAGGCCATTTCCCCTCCTGAGTGGGGAAAGGGACTCCAGGGACTGTCTGGGAATTCCGTGTCCTGGGACGTTTCAGAATTGGGAATGGAAAAATAAAGGGAGGGGAGGTTAACGTTTATTAGCTGAAGCAATTAAAAAGGCCTTGATTTGAATTTTGACCTGTTTTGGATAATTTCAATCTCCAGGGGGATAAAAAAAAAATCCTTTGTTTTAGACGCCTTTCATACATGGTCTACTTTTGAACTTCACTGACCCGGCACCAAAAGGCTTTGTATGTAAGATTTAGTAAAGATCATTATCTATATAGTTTGCCAAATCCGAGAAAATAAACAATGTTACTCTGTCCCCTACATTCAGAATCCAAAATGGAATTTGGGCAGATTATACGGATCAGTTCATTACACAATCAGTTTAGTACTTTGTTTTTTTTGTTTATAGAAACCTTTATGGGAGTGAAAATTCTACAAAACCATAATGGTTATCGACCTATGCGCTTACAAAAAATAATGATTTGTGTTGCAGTCTCTGTACCTCTTTCTTGACATTGCATCTCACATTTACCACCCGCTGTGTAAAATATTTGTACCTTCCTGCTTGAACTTTTAGTGCTACCTCTTAGGCTTTAAGGGATTCTCCCAGGGCAAGCTGTCTGTCATTGGATAGAAAGTCTATGTTTTAACAAAAAAATAACTGCCAGTTTGCTTTGCAAAAGAGAAATTAATCACCAAGAACAAGTTGTATACAAGCATATCAGTACAAATATTAGCAAGTCTCCCATCAGGAACCCATTACTACTTTGTTTTCATGTCAATATTTTTTAAAAACTCTATTTATTCACCTATCTTTTTGAAGTACAGCAGAATCTGGCTGTAGCATTCACTGGAATAGGACAGAATTTTAGATGAAAAATTTTATTTTGAACTCTCTCCAAGGGAGTAGAGTACTACAAGTATATGAGAGATATTTTCATTTAATATAGGGTGATACTGCTTAAATTTAAAGGACAGTACTAAATAAGAAGTATAGGTGGGCTATTATTTTAATAACTAGATCATGAAATGCCAGTTAACCAGTTCTAACATGTTGTTGAAAAGCAGGGAAACCCTCTAACGTATCTGATCCTGGAATTATAAAGTGTATTTGAATTAGTGACTAATCCAGGAGTAAACATTTACTGAGTGTCTGCTATCAATGAACAATTATTGTCCATATGTAATATAGCTAACACTATGACTATAATATAAGTACATTTAATTCCATAAACATTAAGTGTATGGTGGTACTTGGTTTGATTATAAAATTGAAAATTGAAACACATAACATGAATCAATTTTCCTCAGTTTACAATCTAGTAAACATAAAGACCAAATCTTTGGAGAAAGATTAGTCAGAATGAGGCCGGGGATCCCATGTAAACCAAAAAATTCCTTCTATACAAGTTCAAGTAGAAGCTGAAGAAACTAAAAATAAGACCAAAGTACAACCTTGAGTATATCCCAGCCAAATTTAGAGACCGTCTCAAGATTTGACTCACTGAACACTCCTAACCTAGGACCAAATGAGCTGTGAAATGACACAAAGAACTGGTACATGAAGAATGTAAAAGGAAATTGTTTAAAAGACAGGGGAAAAAAGAGAAAAAAATGGATGGAAAAAGAGACGCTGAAACTTGCTCCTGAACATACAGTAGTTAAAGTGGCTGAAATAAATGATGAAGTAAAAGAGTTGAACAAAAGATTTCAAAGGGCAACTTGAGAAGACAAAATAAAGTATTATGATGAAGTGTACAAAGACATAAGAGCTAGGAAACCAAGAGGGAGGTACGTGCTGGACATTTCTTAAGTTGAAAGAACTGAAGAAAAAGTTCAAAGATCAAGTTCAATCTGTAATGAAAGCATTCCTGAAACACAAAGCTCCAGGAATTAATGGGATGCCTATTGAGATGTTTTAACTAATAGGAACAGCAATGTGTCAAGAAATAACAAAGATACCTGGTCAACCCACTGGAAGAGTCATATTTGTTCCTGTTCCAGAGAAAATAATACAACAGAATGTGGAAAATCATGAAGAGTATCGTTGATGTCAGATGCAAGGAAAATTTTATGGAAAATAACAGTCGCAGAGGTGCATCAACAGGGAACTCCCAGAAATTCAACCCAGCTTGATAAAAGTACATGGAATGAGGACAGGCAATGCTATCTCTGTTGACAGCAGCTGGATCTCCTCTGAAAGCAGAGTGACAGTGCAAGCAAAGACATCACGAGACTATTTGGACTGTAATATTTATGGGTGACGCTGTAAAGAATGGGAATTGTAGAACACTTCATTGTGCTTGTGCAGAACATACACATTGTCCAAGAGATAGCCATTCAAACAGAACAGTGGAATACTGTGTGGTTGAAAATCAGGAAAGGTGAGTGTCAAGGTTGTATCTTTCACCCTACTGAGCAAATAATCTGAGAATCTAGGTTGTCGAGAGAATGGGGGCCTCAGAATTAGAGAACACCATCAAAGACCTGTGATATATAGATGCCAAAAGCTTGCTTGCTGAAATCAAAGAAGTATTAAGACACTTACAGATGATAACCACAGGTGACACCCTTCAGAATAGATTATACCTCAACATAAAGAAAACAAAAATCCGAATGTTAGGAAACAGATTGTGGTAGCAAATGTACAATTCAGCTGGATGTGATTGAACTATGGAATGATTTTGTGTATGTATTAATCTCAATTAATAATAATATAACAAAATTAAAATCTTCAGAATTGAACCAATAAGTAACATCATGATAAATGGAAACAAGACTGAAGTTATCCAGGATTTCCCTTTATTTGAATCCCCAATCAATGTCCATGGAAACAACAGTCAAGGAATCAAACAATATTTTCCATTGAAGAAATGTGTTGCCAAAGATCTTTATCATGTTTTAAAAAGGTACAGTTCCAGTGTACCTGAGCCAAGCCATTGTATTTTCAATTACCTCCCAGGCATGTAAAAGCTGCACAGTGAATGAGGTGGGCTGAGGAAAAATGAACCTGTTTGAATTGTGGTGCTGGGGAAGAACATTGAAAGTACTGCGCCCTGCCGGAAGAACAAACAGAACTGTCTGGGGTGCAGCATGCTTTCAGAAGGCTCCCTAGCAGTGAGTATGGTGAGACTTTGCATCATACACTCTGGATGTATTATCAAGAGGGACCAGACAGGGTCCTGGGAAAAACATCACACTTGGCCTCTAAAAGGGTCAGCACAAAAGGAGACCCATCGTGTGATGATTGGCCCAGTGGCTACCAATGTATGCTCAGACACATGCAAGCTTGTGACAATGGCACACAGCGGGGCAGTGCTTTGTCCTATTGTCCATACTGTCAAGAATTGATATGACGGGATACAACTCCAATAAAACCAATACACGTCACCATCCTTCCTGTCAGAGATCCTCCTCTAGAAATCTGAGACTTCCCTGGGCTGAGAGGAATAACTGATCCAGCTTGTAGAATCTTTTTCCCCTGCCAAACCTGCTTAAAACTCTCCTTTTTTCAGTGTGGGTTTAGTAACTTAGATCTCTGCATTATGTTGTGTCTTACACAGAGCTATTGACTTCAGCTAAGGAACCGTGAACAATAATTATTTTCATGACTAAGCCCCGATACACCATTGTCAGACAGCACTTTACAGCACCACTCGTTTCAAATTTTAGAACAGAACTGTCAAACAAGCAAATGCCTACACCAAAGGCTTCTCTTTTCAAGCTACAGGCATGCGTTCTATGGTGTGCAATAACAGAGTGAATCTTTGTGTTCTCGTGAAACCTCCTGATTTGACAGTCCTGGAAATGAAAGCTTGTTTCTTCCTAGTGCAGATACATCAATGGTAACAATTGCACCATTTCCCAAACAAGGCTGAGGGATGGTATAATGCAGACAGAGGGAGACTCGGGCCCTGAGACTATTAAATGCTATTAAGCAGGACCGTTTCTTAAATGGTAAAAGAACAACTTAGCCTGATATAAGAGCAAGTGATTGGCACATCTCAATCTGATCTTTCCACCCATTCAAAAAATAATAAAAACTTTCATGGGGTTGCAAATATAGACTCAATTAAAACTTAATCCTCAAGATAACAAATATCTGATCCCAATATTTCTCAAGTTACCCAAAGTGTAGCCCATTATAACAAACATTGCTAAGCAGGGACATATATTTATATAAATCAAATGCCTTTCAATCTTTCCTAAAGGAACACTAAATTTGAACTAATATATTTATTATGATCGAGTGATAAATCAGAATTCCAATTTATTAAGTAAAAAGAGGAGTTCTGCTTTTCCACTGATGAGACTTCTTTACAGGGTACTCTCTTCCTGAATGAAAAGCCAAGTGCAAACTATCAAGCTGTCCAGAACGGGAATGGCCACAGTCAGTGTCAACAAACCCAATACATAAAGTAAGCAAGGACTTTCTGGTTCTTATTTATACATATATAGTGAACATTTTACAAGTCTTTGTTTTGTTTTACCATCCCAAAGATTCCATTTCTGGATAGGGTTGGCATCTCTCTCTCCTAATCTCAAAGCGCCTCCCATAGAATCATAGTATTTTTCCAAATGTACAATTCCAGGCAGGGATGGTGTACCAGTACATAGGGTAAACAAAGACTTACTTGTGCTTCCTTACTTATCTGTGGTAAACAGTTTCACGTTTTCCCCCATATAAATCCCCAAACCAAACCCACTGTCATTCTAATTCCTAGAAACACCACCGAGGCTTTCAAGGTTGTACATTTTTTTAAAGCAAACAGCCTCATCTTTCTCTCACAGATCAGCTGGTGGGTTTGAACCACCACCCTTGCAGTCCAATAACAAC